ATCATATATGCATATTTTTTATGAATAAATCATCCAGCATAAATAACAATTATTTTATACATTGTTGACTATTAATTATGCATATCTTTCATTGATAAGCCACTTAGTATAAATGCAAGTAATCTTATGTAAATAATAATTACCTTATACATTATTAACTACTCGCCAACCTTGTGTTTCTAAGTTTAACACTTCCACACATGGGCGTGCGCACAATTTTTTTGCATATATATAGCAAATTAAAATTTTAAATAGTCTGGTGGTTCAAAAAACGGTTTTTGGAGTCATGTAGTCTTGGGTCTAATCCCTGTAAGGCTACCCTTCCCAAAATTATTTCATTGCCTGTGCTAGAGCTCCGGCTATTAGTGGGTGCTCCAGTGATTGACTCGCCAATGATAGGGACTATTTAGAGTTTTGGCAGGTGGTGGTCAGTCAAAGCTCTAGCAACCAACAATAGGAAGCTTTTTTCAAAAAAGAAAAAAAAAAGTAAAACAAGTATATTTTAATAATTTAACATAAAATATATTTAAAGGAATTAAGGGTTATTTTTTCCCTCAACTTTACTTAAAATGCCACTGAAAATTTAAAATTTAATTATAAATTAATTTTATCCCTCAATTTTAAAGTTTCTCTCTTAATCACTCTACCATTTTCTCATCATTGGTGAGCCCACATTACTTTTTAATTTTTTTATTTTAAAAATATTTGAGTTATGGGGCAAAAAAGACCTTTGATCTAATAAAAAATATTAAAAAGTGAGATTCTCCGATAACTAAAGAACATTAAGTGTTTTAGTGTCAATGTGATAAAAAAGGAAATATTTAATGTTAATAAATAGAATTAACTTATAGTTAAGTTTAAGATCCCTGATGATCTTTCGAATAAAGTTGAGGGATAAAAATGACTTTTAATTTTATTTAAAATTATAGATTTAGAATTTAAAATTAGTTCATATATTTTATGAAATCTTTTAACAATGAGAATCCTATAAGTTACCTGGGAGTAATTTTTCCTTAGATCCACACTAAATAAATCAAACTTGGTCACTATAGGCCCATTCTTCCATTGAAATAACAAACAAAGAGAAAGATGTCTGAGCCCATGCTTGTCAGTCTCACTTTTAGGCTCCAATTATTAACGGTGAAGGGCCCACTGTTTTGGCCATGAACGATCCTTTGCTTCTGATGTGATACACAAAAATAAATAAATAAATAAATAAATAAATGTTTTGAATACTAGTAGTAATAATAATAATAAAAAACAATCATCTGATGATTATTTGCTCCCAACGCAATCAAAAGTCAAAACCATTTCAGTATTCACTAATGGTTGAGTTAACACACTGAGCAATTTCTGAACTCACAAAATTGATGGAGCGGATAAGATATTTGACCTTTATTTTATTTTTAAATAATTAAATGGTATGCAAGTTTAAACTTCAAAGAGCATTTCTCCAGTTTTGTATATCGGACATGTTTTAAAAGTTATTTTTTAATCCATTTTATTGGTCACCTCATAAATTTGTAGGGGTATCAATATATATATTTTTTTCATATATATTTCTCCAGTTGTATTTATAAGATAAGGAGAGAAAAAAAATTTAATCTTATTTATAAAACACATGTCAATTCCCAATGCTTAACTTTACATTTTTCTCCTATTAAATACTTTGAATAAAAATATTAGTAATAAAATTTAAGAGCATTTAATAAGAATAAAAGTAAAAACTTGTTAGATTTTAAGAATAAGTTAATGAGGTTTAGAGTTTTTCTTGATTCCAGTAAAACATGCTGAAAGTAATTTATAAATATGACTAAAGAGAGTACTCTACATTGAAAATAGATATAGGAATAGTATAGGAGGGTAAAAACTAAAAAGTATGATGGTGTATAGTGTAACATCATCAATTTCAAACTTTAAATTTTTAGTGTTAAAACGGATAAATTGATAAAAATTGAGTGATTAATAAGTTAATAATGTTTTTAGACTACTGATAAGGTTATTGGATCATTAAATAATTTTAAAAGTGGGATAAATTTGAATACGAGTGAACTAGACATTAGATGAGGGCCAAAATTTATTCTAAGTTTTATTGTGCCATTCATCATGATAGACATACCATGTGCCACAATAAATGTACGAAAATTAACTTTTATTAGATAGTCGCATGCATCAAAACTAAAAGGAAAAATAGAGAAAAATGAGAAAGAAGCGACAAGGGAGAGCTTAACTAGATAGGGCCTTTATGGGCTTTTTGGATGCTATTTGAGTTGGATGCACACTTAAGTAAGCTTCATATTCATTCTCTCTCCTCTCTATGCAAAATTTATAGGAGTTTGGGTATTGTTAGGAGTTGATTTCAATTTCTTTTCATTTTTAGCCCAACCTATTATCTTAGTTAGAGCTTTGGAAAGTTAAATTCAGTTTTTAAACCTAAGTTTATGAATTTTATAGTAATTTAAAATTTTTGATTATAGTTTGAAAGAACTTTAGGTTAACAATGAAAGATTGGGAATAATGTGGGTGAAGAATTGATGTTATCTCAATGATTGGGTGTTAAATGAAATCAATAAAATATGTTGAAAGTGCTAATTGTGTTAGAGAAAATTTGAACATAGTAGGTACCTAAAATTAAGCAAAAAAAAGTTTAATTAGAGCTATAATTGATTATGAGTATTTAATCTTATAAATTAAATATTGATCGAGCTCTGTTGATCAAGTGACCTATTGTAGAGTAGTTATTTACCACGGTAATTATTTTTGAGACAAAAAAATTAAGGTAACCAAATAATTTAATTTTTTTATTTGCGTGTTTAGATGGGTGTGAGAATAGCAAAAATACTATACCATTGTTTTGAACTAGTATATTATTAGTATATACTTAATTGAAATTTGAAAATATTATGTAAAGTGGAATGAATATATATTTACATATATGGGTTTTGAAAGGAATTTGTGCTAAAATTATAAGTATAGGTATTTGCAAAATTATATGATTTGTTATGATAATGTTTTTCATACTTCCATTATTTCATTTTGTATGTTTTAAATTCTCGTTTGAGTTTCAACATCTTTTAAATTTTTGGAATTTTAATTTTTTAAACTAGTTTTTCTTCAACCCTTATGTTATAATAATATAATGGTAGAAATTGTCTTAATTTTAGTTATCATAACGATATTGTGTAAGATGTTTTGATAATGTCAAAACAAAAATTACATTTAATAATTCTAGAAGCTACTTTATTTTTACAATATTTTTGATGCTTTGATTAACCTTAGAAAAAATTGCTAGAAAATTCTTTTTAAATGAAAATTGTTGCCAAGAACTAAGTCAGATTTAAGGACCAAATTTAGTATTCTATTCAAAAAATAATTTGCATGATAGACCAAAATGCCCCTCAGTGTGTTAATTTAAAAAATAAAAAAGCACAAAATCAAACTGCTAGAGCTTCGGTCCCTCCGTTAGCCGATGATGGTGCGTTGGCCAAAGTTCCAATCGATTGGTGACGGTTCATCGATTAAAGTCAATATCCCTTAATTATCTTGTATTGTAAAGCATACTGATTGGTTATTGTTTATCCACGGTTCTTTGAACAGTAACAACCCATTATATATTTTTTAAATATAAATTGGGTAAAGCAAAATGGTTGTTTACTGTTCATCCACAGTTCTTTGAACAGCGACGAACCATTAGATTTTTTTAAGAAATATGAACTGCAAAATTAATTTTTTACAAAAATTAATTGCATAAAATAAAATATAAAATACATATTTATATTAAAAAAGTTGTATATTAAAATATAAAGCCAAGTGATAAATTATAAAATAAAATATTTTATTGTTGAAATTTAAATTTTAACTATATGGAAATAACACACGTTTTTAAAAAATAAATTATTTTTTGTATTGTAAAATGCATAGATTAACAAACCTTTTAAGTTCTTTTAATAAAAATAAAACAGTATGTTGTTACCATAAATATAAAATGGTTTTGATTACCCAAAAAAAAAAGACAAAATGATTTGTTGTATTTCAACAATAACCAACTATTATATTTTTTTATTTTTAAAAAATATAAATATAAAAATAATTTTTTCAAAAAATTAATTGTATAAAATAAAATATAAAATAAAAAATTAATTCTTTTTTGTAAAAATTGTATACTAAAATATAAAGCTAAGTGATAAATTATAAAATAAATTATTATTGTTTAAATTTAAATTTTAACTGTGAGGATAACGCACATTTTAAAAAAATAAATTATTCTTTCTATTTTAAATTGTATATCGCTTTATACTTTGCACCTTACGCATATACATTTGCATCCTAAGCCTATAAGCTTGCACTCAAAGGTCAATACTTATTATTTTGCATCTGATACTTTAAGCCTATACTTTTTCATTCAAAACTTACCACCTTATACTTTATATTTTAAGTTCATACCTTTGCACCTCAACTTTATAAACTTGCATTTCAACCTATTACTTTGCAACTTACACTTCTACTTTAAGCCTATATCCTTGTATCCAATGCTTATACCATTGCACTCTAAGTTTATATCCTTTACACTTCACGCTTATAGCGTTGCACAAAAAAAAATACATCTTAAATGTTATTGATTTCAAGTAAAATAAACACACAGGGAGCACATTAGTGTCAATGCCCTTACATTTCATGAAAACAATTATAGATTCCATGTAAAATAATATACGAAAAGATTTGCAAACATGCCTGGGCGAAATTTACATGTTAATTGTAATTGATTCCATATAAAATAAACGCATAGACAGCACCTCATTGTTAGTGCCCCTACATTTCATGGAAACGATGGAGTATTCCATGCAAAATATCTCGAACAGAGAGTAATCTCAGATTTGAATTGTAAGCATGACAAATATAATATACTTGTTTAATACACAACTGATAAGAGATAAATGCATCAAAACATCTTGATTTTAAATACAATTTCTTAGAGTAAAATTCTCTTATAGGAGCAAGACTTGATGTTTTAATGAAACTGGATGATTTCCAAAAAGACTCTTTTCCATACCTGTCTGCACAAAAAAGCAGACACAAAAATTTGATCCAATACGAGACCAATAGACTGAAACCTAAGTAAGCATAGGAAAATGCTAAATTTCCTAGTTTTTTCTGATAGCTCTTCCTGATAACGTCCAATTCTACAAACTCTCATCACACCATCAGTGTAGCCACTGAACAAGGTAATTCCACCTGTACTCCAGCTCAAACTAGTGCGGTAGACTACCTAGCAGACAGGAAACAATATATCAACACCTCGTTTGTAAATATTATTTCATTATGGGGGGTGCTACAAAAAAAAAAAAAAAAAGAACTACATATTGCCATATCTACCTTTCATATCCTACATTTGCAAGACCCTGATATAAACTACTTAAGAATACAAAACAATAATCAGGAAAAAAATTTACATGGAGCGATTGCTCGAATATTGTCTTCACAACATCCTTGAAGTTGGGGGAAATGGTGTACCTACATACATAATTCCACATATTAGAGTACATAATTAATGGTAATGATTTTAAGGGCTTAGGATACAAAAAAATATAATCTCTACTAAGCTTAGGAGGGAATATGGATTCATCATCAAGCTGTGCTCCAATCCAGTCCACTAGATGTTCTACATATTTTGGAGCAGGCACCTCAATAGGCTTCTTGATTTGTACAACATCTGCCCATCTATACTTATACCTATGTAAGTTTTCATATAAAAACACACATAAATAAATGTACAACATAGGACTTTGAAATGAACTAGGGGCGGCGAGAATCATCATTAACATTGATAGAATGATGATAAGAAAGGCACACGTGTACTTAGTGTTTTGACAATTCAAAATTACAAGTGATGAGCTCATTACTTGTACAAGCTTTTATAGAAGATTCTATTGCACTCAAGGAATAAAATGTGTTTAAGAAAAAACTCTTACCTTCTGTGACTTTTACATAGCAGGGATCATGAGATTACCATCTCTCTCTTTCAATTGTCATGAGATGTTTTAAATACTGCCTACCCCCACAAAATGATTTTTTGCACGAGTAGGAATAACATGAGCTTTCTTTCTTTGTTTTTTTTTTTTCTTTTATTAGAGACCACAACAGCTTTCTCTAAGTTTAATCACAAGGCCATTGGAAGAGTGGAGAAACTTTTAAAAGTTGGTTTTAGTTGTTTTTGGTTCATAACTTCTCCTCACCCAGATCCCTATTATTAATAAAATCATCAAAAGTACTATGGCACAAGAAAAATGTTAATGATAACAACTATAACTTTCGTTCAAAGGGGATTCTGAGTACTGGCATGTAACCATGAAAATTGTTATTTGAAAGGTCAAGCTGTCGAAGACTTTGAGCTGGGACACTAGAGTGACAGTACCTCGGAGGTTTGCATGAGACATTGCGGCTAACGCCTTGCCAAGAGCAGTAACTTGAGTTGTTGGCGTCCCATCTTGGTACTTTAAGCTCTTGGTCAAGGACAAGTACTTTAATCTATAATTATCTAAATCAAAAGGATGGAACTACTGCCATAGAAAATTTTTCCAGTAAAAAGTCGTCCTATAAAAGATAGAACAATTTGAGGCCGCCGTTCTTAACGGTGAAGACGATAAACAGGGCAAGTATTGCTTTTGTTGAGCCAATCATGAAGATTTCTGCTACGTTCACATGGGTCGGTTAGACCTGATCATGGTTTCACATACAACGGTGGGGGATTTGGAACAGGACTTGAGGCAGCGGACGAGGAGGTGACAGCATGAGGAGTTGCTAATCACCTTCAGTAGGCAGAGGTAGAGGCGGCGACAGTGGGAGGAGTTGCCATTGCCAATCATCTTCAAGCTCAGCAGCTGAATAGGAAGTAAGGTGTGGCATCTTCTAAGGTGTTCTAATGGTTCTCCGATTAGGGAATGTGTACAGAGAGGGCTTAACATGGGGCATTTCAGCCAACACAAAAAAGTGTTCTATGAATATAATAACAAACTTAGTCCTTAAATCTGGCTTGGTCTTTGGTAATAATTTTCCTTTTAAAAAAGGATTTTCTAGCAATTTTTTCTTAACCTTGAGCCACTTATTTTGAATTGCAAGTGATTTACATTTAACAGATTATGTTAAAAATGGTATTATTGTACCCCGGGAGCGGGGGCATCTCCATCCACCTCCATGGCTCTGTAATTGCAACTCATTTTTCTATTTGTGAACACCTATGTTTGAGAGATTATAGGGGATTATCCATTTTCAGGCTTTTGAATTGAACCCTTTGAAATTAGGTGTTGTTTTCTTCATGCTCGAACCAAATGCCAATATTAGAATTTTGCGAATTGAGCCTTGACTTGCTTTATTATTCTCCATTTATACTACCAATGCTCGTTTCTCTTTGCGCCTCTTCCCCCATTCTTCTACAGCATTTCCTATTCATTCAAATTCAATCTGTTTCTGAAATCAACGAAATCACCTATGTCAACCTTGACCACCCTTCCTCCAGACACATTTTCGGCTCGGGATGATGTTGGTCGCCTCCGCAAAGCTTTGAAAAAAGGTTACTAATCATTTTTTTTTCTTTTTCTTAATAACGTGTTTATATGTAAGTGCATTTTCTGATGTTTGATAATTTTCTTCATCCTTGTGAAAGGATATTGAAAGCCTGGCTATATATGCAATTCTGTTGAAGGTTGAAGAATTTTCGCCATAGCGTGTGTGTGTATATATATATATATATCTATATTATCATAAGTATTATTCTACAATGATTTGTTTTCTCTTAGCTCTGCAATGGTGTGTGCTCTGTCTTCTTCTCAATTTTCATCTGTTATTTTTATTTCGATGAGGGCCTTAAAGTTGGAGAGTTGTAATGGAGAGTTTTACTTGTCATCTTAAATATTTTAGTGCAAAAGAATTGCAGGTAAATGAGCACAAGGGCAAGCATATATATAAATAACTAAGGAACTACTAATATATATATTAATTAACATTCAATTAAAAATAAAATTTATATTACTTTACAGTCTTTTATATATATATATATATATGTATATATATAACTAATACGTTACATTCTTCATGAGCGAATAGTGCAACTGTTATTGATATTCTATACATTCCCATCCCATCAAGTTAACTGAAAGAAAGAAGCAATCCATTTGACGCACTTTTGGATGTTTCTATAACATGGTTTTCGCAATTCTCAATTACAGGAATGCGCTGCAAAACTTCAATAGTTATAGAAATCCTTGCTCACAGAGATTCAGCACAAAGAGACCTCATTCTACAAGAATATGAAACTGCATATTCTGAACCGCTTACCAAACGCATCAGTTCAGAGCTTCATGGGAATCTCAAGGTATATACATGTTCAAAGAAAAACTAACCCAGTTATTGTTTTCCTTTCATCATTGAAAAGTGAAAACAGTGGAAAACAAGTAATTCATCTTTTTGACTTCAGAAAGCAATGCTTCTTTGGATGGATGAACCTGCCAATAGGGATGCTACCGTAGCAAGGCAAGCCTTGACTTCATCTCTTGTTGATTATCAAGCTATAACTGAAGTGATTTGTTCTCGCTCCCCATCACAAATAAGACGCTTTAAAGAAGTTTATCAGAAAGTATACCATACTCGTTTAGAGAGGGACATTGAAGACTATCTATCTGGGGATCTCAAAAAGGTGCTTCAATACTCTCCATCCCCTCCTCTGATGAATAGACAATTTTTTTCTGTTCTCTATTTCATTAAAATGGGATACTCCATTAAAGCTATTGTCTTTATTCTCTTTGATACAGTCAGTCTTATGAGTGCTTTTTTCAAATCTTGTCGTATTGACTTCATCTGTTAGCTAAATAATTGAGTAACCTGAGTCAAGCTATCTATTAATAGCTGTTGCATGAATATATAAGCGTACCACGTTATGAAGGCCCAGAATTTAATCAAGAGATTGTAGAGAAGGACGCAATGGATCTGTATAAAGCCGGGGAGAGGAAGATGCTAGGAACCGATGAGAAGACTTTCATAAGGATTTTTAGTGACAGAAGCAGGACACATTTGGCTGCTATTGCCAAAGCATATGAAAGAAACAACGGCAACTCACTGGAAAAGGTTTACATGCAAATCCTCAATGAGCTGCTTTTGTTCAATGATTTGTAGTTCATCATTATTTCTTTTACACAATCCAATCCATCCGTTTCGTGCCCTACAGGCCATAAAGAAAGAAACACATGGCTATTTTGAAAGGGGCCTCCTGGCCATTCTTCGATGTGCTACTAACCCCGCACTGTACTTTGCCAAGGTATTTTCTCCTTCTCATAGTTTCATCTCCAAAAGTTTGCATTCCTTGTAAAATGGTTCATGAATATTTCACACTTCCATTAAGTTCTGTTATACATAGGTTTGTCTCAGTTGTTGTGAAATTCGTGATGCCATTCACATTGCAGAACTACTTACAGTAAAAATGACTACTGTTTGAGGTGTTTTTTTTTTTTTGGGCAGATTCTGAGGAAATCAATGAAGGGTTTTGGAACAGATGATAGTAGATTAATAAGGGTAATCGTGACAAGAACTGAAGTTGATATGGAACAAATAAAAGAAGCATACCTCTCAAGATATGGAAAACCATTAGCCAGTACCGTTCGATCAGACACATCAGGTCATTATAAGGACTTTCTTCTATCTCTGATAGGCGGTGATTAGATGGGAACAAGAGCCCTATGAACAATGGCATGCATCTACGAGCAAGTTTTGACATGAATAAATGCATGCAAGAGTCAGTAGCATGAGATTGATTTCTAAATAGGATATCCATCTGAATAACTTGCACACTCATGGTCCGGTTACCCTTTATTTCCTTTGTACATAATATATGCATAATTATTTCATACTACTCTTTCCTATCTATTAAAAGATGGCGGTAAAGAAAAAGACAAAGTGCAGTCAAGTTATGAAACCCCGTTGCTCCTTTTGCCGTCTATCATTCAAACTAGCTCATCGTGCGATACTTCCTCGACTTCTATTAGCCATTTTGTGTTCTTCTATAAATAATAATATAAACCGTTTGTTACTTCTAATCTTTGAAAGAGATAAGCAAAGGCATCGTTAACTAAAATACTTTTTCAACTACATTACATTTTTTACCATAAAATAAATAGATTACTTAATCTCACTAGGCGATTATCATTTTATACATTATCATATGTAAATATTTCTATAACATATTGTAGTATATAATTGTATGAACATAAAATATAAGAATTATAACAAATCACATTATTTATTAACCGTGAACGATAAAAATTGGCTGATTGTTGATATTAAAAATGAAAACAATAAAAATCATAAAAAAAAAAATGTAATCGAAAATTGGCGTGCAAGGCTGCAAGCCTGAAGCCTCAAACGCGAAGCAGAGTACCTGGGTGACTGGGCAGGGATTAGAGCTTCACAGTTCACACCGCTCAACCTTGGCGTGGCGGTCTTCCTTCAGCTTCAGAGGCCGAGCAGCTCTTTTGTGTTGCTTAATCCCTGGCGCGGTAAGCCTTCAACGTCAGAGTACCTTTCCTTTTGTTAGACTGAAAACGGTATCGTGTAGCTGTCGAATCGGTGCTTGTGACAGTCCCAAGTCACAACTCTCAATATGTGCAAGATTTCCTCTTACAAATCAATTGTTTCCTTCTCATATTATTGTCTCCTTTGTTCCTTGTAGTTTCCAGCTTTCGTGGACTCGGCGAAGAACTCAAGATTCAAATGTCAGGGAAAGAAGATATTCGAGGCTCAGATTCTTTCTCAGAGAAAGGAAAGGATCTGATAATTGAGGGGTACCCTATTCAGGGTTTGTCCATTGGAGGCCAAGAAACGTGCATAATTTTCCCCTCACTTAAATTAGCTTTTGATATTGGTCGCTGCCCTCCCCGTGCTGTTTGCCAAGACTTCCTCCTTATTTCCCATTCTCACATGGATCACATAGTTAGTCCGTTTCTTCAATGCAAATTCATACCCGAGATAACTGATTGTATGTCTGACACATCTTTTCTTTGGACAGGGAGGACTGCCTATGTATGTTGCTACAAGAGGCTTATACCGTATGAAGCCACCAACAATTATTGTACCGTCATCCGTAAAAGAGGACGTAGAGAAGCTCTTTGAGGTGCACAGGAAACTGGACCACTCAGAACTGAAGCACAATCTGGTTGGCTTGGATATAGGTAAGTTTTGAATTGAAATTTTGCAATGCTAACTTTGGCCACTCGTATATTTTTGTTGCTTACGCTAGATTTTATTTTCAGGAGAAGAGTTTTATTTGAGAAACGATATTAAAGTAAAAGCTTTTAAGACCTACCATGTGATACCTAGCCAGGTTACCAGCTAGCAATTATGTATCTCTTTTGAGTTTGATTCCTGATTTTATCCTCATCACTTAGTAATACTGTGGACTGACGTTTATGCATGATTTTGACAGGGTTATGTACTTTACTCTGTAAAAAAGAAGCTTAAACACGAGTACCTTGGCCTTCCTGGAAATGAAATTAAGAAGTTGAAGTTTTCAGGTGTGGAGGTTGGTCTTGATTGTTGTATTAATGGATATTTTGTTAAATCCATGGCTGGGCAATTGGAAATACTTTTGTTCAACCAATGCTAACACTTGCTGCTCAGTTCTCTGCATTTCTTACGTTTTTCATTTGATTAGAGAGGGGGAAAAAGAAATGAAAGCACAACAAGATACTCCCTCCATCTCAAATTATTGGACACTTTTGAAGGAGTTTTTTCGTCCCAAAATATAAGATACTTTGAGTAAATTAAGGTTTCATTAAATGCACCAATTTCAATATTATCTTTTTTCTCTCTGTAATTAATTTTCGTTTATTCTTTTTTTAATATATTAAATGATGGGTGTTTTTGAAAGTTTATATTTTTGTTTTGAAAAGATAAGGTTGTTAAATGTATTTAATAGGGTTTATTGGTATGTGAGATTTTATCTAAAAGTGCGTTATAATTTGAAACGGAGGGAATGTATAATATAGACTATATTTATTAAAAAAAAAATTATGACCATGATCATCGAGGAGGATTTAAACTCTGAGCTGAACATATTTTCTGAGTCAATGTTCAGGAGGCTACCGCATTATGATTTAGTTGCCTTTGCCCCCTTCTCCAAACGCAAGATCTATCTATCATGATAGGAAAAATTGAACAAATGTAAAGTTTTCCTCTTGATAGCTGTAGACAATGAAGTTATATCTGTAGTCGACTGTTTCTTCTTCTCATAATTCTTTGATTCAATATTAAGTTATCTTTATCAAAATGAGCTAGCTATAGGCTGCAATTGATTGGTTGTTTATGTTTAAGAGGCGTAACATGTTACCTATTTTGGTATAGAAGTTTGCTAGTGCATCTGCTTCTTGTGTTGACTTCACTGAGTATGCTCAACCAGATTGTGCTGTGGGCAGATCACGTACACTTTGGAAGAACCAGAGATTGCTTTCACTGGAGACACTATGTCGGATTTCATAGTTGATGATAGTAATATTGATGCATTGCGGGCCAGGATCCTTGTTATGGAGGTGCTCTACTTTCTTTATCTAATAATTCGTTTCCAACTTTATTGCTGATCTAAACTATTGATTCAAGCTTCGTAGTTTTGCATTATTGGAACAGATCATTAATGGTCTTCCTTGATTCAAAGTCTATGCACTTAGCCCATTATGAAATGGAATGGTATAGATTCAAGATTTGATATTTTCTGTTGAGAATTTTTTATATTTCCACATGTACATTTTTACATTTGCTGACTTCACCTGGTGGGATAAGGCTTGTTGTTGTTGTTATTATTGTATAAGTTTCTAGATTTTAGTTGTCTTATAATACAGAAGGAGGTGTTGAGCAATTGAGACAAAAGACAGGCAATAATTTTCAGGAAATTAACCAAGAACACATGTAGGAAACACCACACATCATCATCCCTTAAGACTGTACCTAGTCTGAATATAGAATTTTCAGAGTTCTTGAACAGACTGTAGCCATTGGAGTTTTTAATTCATTTAGATACTGACTTTTAGCCTACATTTCTCCTCCATCTTATCTGAAAGCATCAGATTTTCATAACCAAGAGTGATTAATCAATTCATTGAGTCCTAATATTTGAAGTCATGGCTGAATGAATTCATTATTATTCATATAATAGTTGAAAATCAATTCATGCAATTTGATACTTATTAATAATTTTAAAACTAATTACAGAAAATTTATTTTATAAGTACTGTTGAAAAAAATCTACATGCAATATCTACATTATATCAGTTCTTTTTATTGCACTTTCAAGTTCATTTTCTGTACACATTGCTTGCTCCTACATAATGTTGATTAAAATTATGTGGTTAAGGATGTGATTTTAGTGCAACTCTTATGTTGTCTCATCTATGCATCCAGTGCACCTTTGTAAACGATTCAATTACAGTGACGCATGCCAGGGATTATGGACACACTCATCTGTCTGAGGTATACTCTATGAACCATTAGCATTCTATTCACTATCAGCTGCAGTCTGGAGCACAAGAAAATTCATATCTCTTGGGGATTTTGGTTGTTTCATTCCCTGCTAATCAATGCCCTCCAGATAATTAGTCACGCTGGGAAGTTGCAAAACAGAGCAATCCTTCTAATTCACTTTTCAGCACGCTACACAGAAGAGGTATGATACTAGTAAATGAATTCTACATCCCCACGCCATCTCAACTCCTTCCCTATGAGAGTTTTATGGAGCGGCAACTTTTGGAGAAACTTCTATGGGGACTCGTAGGAAGCTTCTTCATGTTTAATTTGAAACTTGGTTCTTGCAGTTTGAAAAAAAAAAAAAAATTACAAAGTGATTCTAAACTCTTATGTGGTGACTGTTTGCTGACTTAGTTTATTAGCATGTAGACTGCTCAAACTTTGTCCTATGTCGTCTCTCTTCCCTGTTCTGTTTCAGCATAGCTAATGCCGGCAGTGGCATTTATGATATTTCAGGAAATTCAAGAAGCCATAGCGGCCTTGCCTCCACCATTAGCGGGTCGAACTTATGCACTTACAGAGGGTTTCTGACTCAAGGATCTACGAGCTTTCTTGATGGCAAATGAAGGATCAAATGAATGCCGGGCTGATTCCTGTTTTGTAATGAGCTACTAGGGCCACTGGGCTATGCCAGTTGTTTTATTCAATTACTATTTTACAATTAAATGTTAGAGAATAGTTGGCAAAAGAAAAAGAAAATATCAGAGAACATGTTGCATGTATGGTGAAGTTATTAGTCTCATCCAAGACCTCACAGTTAGGTGTATGTTGAAGTTGAGTATTTAAAATTTTATGGACAGAAGTATATTCTCCTTTTGCCTCTTAAAGGTCAGGGTGAGGATCAATTGCATTCTAAATATTTTATTTGATTCTATTATTTTAAAAAAAATGTAAAAAGTTTCAAAATTGCCCTAATGGCTACCAATAATTACGTCAAGGACCAAAAACGCTGACGTTGGCATAAGAAGTGAAGGGAAAACATAAACGTTTCATGCGGGAACTATGACCTCCAGCACGGTGATATTCTGGCACAACCGATATTTGCTTTTCGTTGGAACTTGAATAATTCTCGTTATGTTGTGTCGAAGCTTGTGTAATGATGAGTGACCAGTTTGAGGGTTAGAGATAGGAGGTGATCATAATAGCTTTAGTACAAGGTTGAAGTGAGGATGGCGGAGTGGAAGAAGTGGAGCCTTGGAGACCATGACAGTATCTTGATAGAGGAGTTCAGAGTGAAGAAGTTTGGAAGAGTGCAAGCAGAATAGCACGATATGAACGTGGAGGGATGGTGATGGTGCGGCACAATGCCTTCTTCTGTAGCACCATCTCATTCCACTTTTGGTTACTAATTAATTAAGCTTCCCTAGTGTTTTTGGTTGTGTAAGAAAAAGTCCCACATCGTGTAATCGGAAGAGTTTTTAGTTGTATATATATTAAGTAATGGGAGCACAAGATCATATTTTCTTTGCTATTCATAAACCACTTTTTCCCTCTATCGAAAAATGCCAAACAAGGAGGTAGCTTGAGTTGAGATTAACTGTTTGGATAAGGGGAAAAATTGATTTTTTCCCTCCAAAATTAATTTTTACAACAAATTATCCAAACAGTCAAAATAAGATGAAAATTGATTCTCGCATGTTACGCGCGTTTTCTGATGGAATCAGCTTTTGTCAAAAGTTAATCAAAAAACGTTGGAGAAGATTATAAAAGAAAGCCTATGAGAAAATTATAAATAAAGCACATAATTTAATAAAAATAAAATTAAATTTTTTTTCTTCTCTCTTTTTTTTCTTAATAAAATTCAAATTTTATATCCTTAAAAAATTAATTTTTTATATTTAAGAATTAAATTATATAGTAATTTATATAACTAAAATTAATTCTGATTAAATTATCCAAACATTTTCAATTCTGTTAAAATCAATTTTAAAAAAATAATATCTGAACAGATTGTATCATAACATAATCAATTATAATTAAAATCTACCACTTAATCCATTATTTTTGTAATCTATTATACCCAACTGAAATCCAAACAGACTCTAAATAATATATCATCGATTTTAGCTATATGGTACGAAAAGTAAAAGTTATTGAGCTAGTTACGGCAGAGGGCTTACTTGGTAACTTGTCATGGAAAATGGTTTTTTGTTATCCTAAATAAAAAAAAAATTGTTTGACAATATGTTTTTAGAAAATGTTTTAAAAAATAAAAAAATTAAATATTTTTTTGAAAAATAAAAAAACAAAAATTTCTTTTAGATGTTTTGAAATTATTGTTTTGGATAATAATAGAGATTATTAAAAATAAAATATACTCTATAAAATATTAATTCTCAAAATAATAAAACAAAAATAATTTCAAAAAAGCACAGTATTTTTTGTCAACATATCACGGCACTACAAATATAATAGAGAACAGAGTAATCAAGGATGTAAAAAGGCGATAAGTCAAGACTTACACCTGTACTCCAATTTAAATTCAGAACTCATAATTTCTTATTCCTTCTGGGCATTCAGAAGCTACAGCATTCACAGTAAATTTCATAATTCATAAATTCTGAATTCACAGCAATGATCTTTGCTAACTCCTGCTGGGGTTTTAATCAAGTATATACGCTATATTTGGCCCAAAAAAAAAAGTATATATGCTATACAGTGGATTCATCGGCAAACACGGCTGCTAATATAATCACTATATTCGTATTTGCTTAATATTTAATTATAAAAATAACTACATAATCCATATAATTAATTATCAATTGTACACACATCTAGCATGAAATTGATGTTTCAAACTTGGAAAATTTATATATATATATATATATTTATATATTTATTTAAAAGGGGACAGAAAATAAAGCATGCATGTGATGATATATATAGACACGAACTTTTTTCAATTTCTAAAAAATAACACTGATTATTGCTTGACCATATATCGCTATTCAATAAATGATAATATTACAAAATAAATGTTTGAAATACAAAAAAAAAAAGTAATAGAAATTGAGGAATTAAAAAAATGTTGTTGGAGACGTTATAGCGACGAATAGATAAATGAAACTTGGACTAAATTCCTTGGGGAGATGGTGACTGCTCCGAGAACAGCGTATCATAAATACAAAGCCAAGGAAGGAATCCGAGTTTCGGTGTTTATTATACATTTCTCATCTTCAACCTCTTGCCCTCTTCTCCGTCTCTCTCTTCCATCGCCATCTTCGTCCTTCTTAATATATTAGTACAACACCAATGTCTTCTTCTTCCAACAGACCTATTCTCTTACCTCTGATCATGTTCCTCACAGCATGTGTCCTGTGTTTCTTGGCGGCTCCTTCCGTTGCGGAACTCGAACACCTTCGCCACCTCCCCAGCAAACCCGACAACTCGCTGAGCTTTCTCGTCGTCGGAGATTGGGGCAGAAGAGGCTTTTACAATCAAACTTCCGTCGCCCATCAGGTTAACTTCTCCATTCTTTGCTTTCTCTTTCAGTTTCTTTTTTCCCCCCCCCCTCTCTCTCTCTCTATATATATATATATGGATTCAATATCGCAAAATCATTTTGTTTGCTCGTTCTAATCATATGAATCCATGACTTTAACTTCATCTCGCATATTTATTCTCAGCAGATCTGCTACTACTAGGTGTCTGTAAATTGATGTTGTTTAATTTTGGAGTCGTACGTGAACAACATCATTTCTCACCTCAAGCTGTGTGTACTTAAATTTGTTATTTATTTTCATTTGTTGCTAACTACATGCTTTAAAATTTGATTTATTAGAATTCATTCGTTCCTATGCATATAATTGACATATAATATATTTAACAAAGGGACTAGTGTATTTTTTTTATAAAAAAAAACCTATTAGAAACGGCTTATATATATAAATAAGTCTAAAAACGATTTTCCGAAAAGAAAAAAAAGTTATTTATTTATTTAAAAATATTATTGTAGCCGACATGAGTTCTCTCGTAACATGGGCGTGTGCTATAGTAGAGCTTTTGAGAATTGAGATAAACATGTGATTGGTGATTAGTTAATGACTTTTTAAAAATTAATTATTTTGAAATCAGACAACATAACACAAGAGAAGTGCCCATGCCTACCAGAAGAATTTATGTAATTTAAACTAAAAAAAATTTGGAAAATTTGCGTGAGAGTCAGTTGCTTTACCCCTAAGCTAATCTTTCCTATAGACCAGAATCTTTGTATAAGCTCGTTTAGTCAATATTCCATCTACCATCCTATTTCTTATACTGGTCCTTTCTTATTATTTTTATTTTTACCCGAATACAAATGCTTAATTGATTCTTACCCATTTGTCTCGATTATAGATATAGATTTTTTTGGGCCATACAATTAAAGATATAGATTGCGGTATTGATTCTTTAAGCAACCCTCATCTGCCATTCAAATTCATCAGTATGTATATAACTGTTGATGCAAAATGAACCAAATTCTTTCAAATTCTACTATTCATTGAATTAGGTTAGCATTCATAAAAAAAAGGATAAACAAAATATCTACATTTTAAAAGTCCCGTCATGAAAAAACTGACGCCGAATTTTTTAAAAAAATAATATAACAATAATTTGCAACTACATGTAGAATAATTAAAAACACATAAAAAAAATACTTTCTACATAAGAATAAAGTTATGTAACGTATACTGACATATAGTTTCTAAAATATATTTTGAAAATATTAAAATTACATTCCGGATTGATCGGAATCAAAAGTATGCATTTCATGTCTGATCATTTCAGAAGATATTGAGCCAAAAAATTTTATAAATTTAGTGCGAACTAAAATATAAAATTTTGTTGCTGATATAAAATATGTTATGAATTAATTTTTGTAAGGGGAATTAACGTCTATTGCTGTTACGAACTGTTCTCCCCCTCAAAACATATTTTTTACTGTTTTACATTGATCTTTTAATATATATATATATAGAGTACGTAAAAGCTACTTTATTAATTATGTTGTGCCACTTGATTAATGTTATGGGTGGGTGTCCATTCCATTTCTGTTGCTCTATTCTTTCACGCAAAGTCACTTTTGCGTTTTGAAGGCATATCGGGGAATATTCCAAAAGCTCAGGGAAAAGGTTATATGGGGCTTTATGGAAAGACATATAAAATATAAAATATATATAATTTTATCAATTAATCGAGATGTCTGGACCACTTTGATACATGTGTCGATTATTAGTTTCTGTTTCGGTGGCGATGAAAAAATAGTTAGGTACACGCAAGCTGCTTGCCAATTATACAAGTCAACTGATATTTCTCTCTTTTCTGTTGAAGTACAGATGCACGTCTTCATTTGCTTTTTTCTATATGTTTCGAATCTATATGCTCATTCTTAACAAAACTTCAAAAAATTTACATTGGAAATTGAACTATATTCGCTTTAGTATCGTGCATCGTACTTGAATTATTTTAGGAAGAGATATCCGGAAGCAAATGCCAGCCTATGAATGAGATGTGCTTTAAGGATTTGAAGGGTACAGTTCTCAGCATATTCCATTCACTTCGTTGATTCCTTTTTTCTTTTTTGTCCGGAAATAAAATGAATTCGAAAATATTTCAGATGGAAATTGAAATTTTCATGGTTCAACCCAAAAACTCTGGATGATGGCAATGTTTGTGGACCTAATTTTAATAACCCAAACCACCTTATTAAATTGAAGCAAACAAACAGCACCTCTCTGTGATTTTGACTTCCTGATCTCTCAAAAATAAGATTAGTGTGTGAGATTTTTCATATCTCCAAAAGCATTATATTAATTTTGAAGTGATTGATTGTACTAATTGAAATGATAACACATACTACTAATACTATTAATAATGTATAAGTGATGTTAATTAACTTAATTGAATGCGTCCGCAATGCATATATGCTTAGATGGGAATGGTGGGGGAGAAACTGGATATAGATTTTGTGATATCGACTGGGGATAATTTCTACGAAGATGGCCTGAAAGGAGTGCACGATCCTGCCTTCTATGATTCATTTGTCAACATCTACACTGCCCCAAGCTTGCACAAACCTTGGTACTCTGGTATATTTCCTGACAAATCTAATTAACCTTGTGCGTTTCATCGTCCTGTACAAAATATCATTAGTTTCCTCGACAACATAATGTAGCGTTGATTCTCTCATACCACATTCATTTTATCTCATTGATTTTCTGTTTTGCAGTTTTGGGCAACCATGACTATAGGGGTGATGTTGAGGCACAATTAAGTCCCATTCTCAGGCATAAAGACTGCAGATGGATTTGCATGAGGTCTTTCATACTTAATGCAGGTACCACTTTTAGAAATGAAATAAGTGAGAAGATGAAAATGAAATATCTTTTTCCTTTGCGTGATAATAAAAATGAAATAGAATCATGTCTTCCTTTTGTCTACTTGGCAGAAATCGTGGACTTTTTCTTCGTGGACACAACTCCGTTTGACGATTCCTACTTCACGGGGCCAGGAGAGCAAGGCTATGACTGGACCGGTGTGCTTCCTCGCCAAGCTTACCTTTCTAATCTCTTGAAGGTCAATCCAAATTCAAAATTCTCTATTGATACCCTTAACTTCTTACATGCCTCTTGGAAGCAAGTGTGCCATTGTGTGGTATTTAAAACAAGTTAATTATATCAGTGGGTACCGATTGGACCATCATTTTCTTCATCACAACAGTGGCTGATTAAGGTTTAGAGGTTTTCCCTGTAGGAAGTGGACTCAGCTCTTAAGAATTCTAAGGCTACATGGAAATTGGTGATTGGTCATCATACAATCAAGAGTGCCGGGCATCATGGAAATACACAAGAGCTCGAGGCGAAGCTCGTCCCAATCCTTGAGGTAATGTAATCATATTTTAATGAGACAATTTCAATAAAGGACTCTTGATAAAATTTATTTATATTCAAAGCCCTTAAATTTTTAAAATTTTATTACAGTTCAGGATTATTGATTTGATATTAAATTTCTTAGAAAAATAACAAAATTGCCCTTTTTTAATTAATATTAAAACTTTTCTATTTTACTTGTTAATTGCGTCACTTCATTTGTTTATTTACTTACAAAATATTACTAATTGCCCTACTTAACTTGTTTTCATTTTAAGTATTTAAATCATCTTAAAACAACTTGTCAATTCCTATACTGTATGTTGTTCACTTACTTATGAACTATTGTTAATTGTTTTATTTTACTTATTCATTGCCAGGCTTTCATTTGATTTTACTCTAGGAAAATAAATAAGTAAAATATAAAAATTAACAACATTTAATAAGTAAATGGATAAGTAAAGCAGGGCAATTAACAAGTGAAGTAGAGCAGTCTTGATATTAATTTAAATGAAGGGTAACTTTGTCATTTTAAAAAAAATTAATATCAAATCAACGTCCCTAAATTGAAGTGAAATTTTAGAAATTTAAGAGTTTTGAATGTAATTGAAAATCTCCCTATTTTAACTCCTCAATATGTCTTGAAGAATTTGATCGTCATGCGGGAAACTCCCAGTTTGCTAGGCTCCGTTGCCTGTATCTTTCTTACTCCTGTCGTTCTTCGAGAAATTTAGAGGATTCAAATGCATAAAAACACTGATTAACCAGCCTGATTCAATCTAATAAAGTGTTGCAGAGGGAATATCTTTTAACGTGCAGTTCCTTGTGTGATTGTGTAGGCAAATGAGGTTGATGCGTACATAAATGGACATGATCACTGCTTGGAGCATATAATTGACTCAGGAAGGTAAATGTATATTATTATCACAAACATGGTTCTGCAACTCAAACCTCATGTTGTTTATACACGTACGAATGCAGTGGGATTCAATACTTGACGAGTGGAGGGGGATCAAAGGCATGGAGGGGAGATGTCAAGCCTTGGAGCCCAGAGGAGTTGAAGCTTTATTACGAAGGTCAAGGATTCTTGTCCGTGCAAATCACCCAGAGCAAGGCATACCTTGTATTCTATGATGTTTTTGGTAAGGTATTACACAAATGGACCGTCTCCAAGAACCTTAACCCATTAGCTTAGAAAGAGACCGCTGTTTGAAAAGAACTGATCCAGTATTCGGAAGGCAGAAAATAAGAAAAGTAGTGTTCAGGAATAAAATGAGAAATATCTCTCTTTGTTTAAGTACATTCATCATTTCCTTTTTAAAAAATATTTTTCCATGTGCCCAACATGTATTTAATAAGTTTAGATTACGGTAGTTGTAAGTTAGTTCCCCCATGTCTGCAAGACTGCAAGACGTTCACTCAACATCATGAGAGTATTTGCCATTAATCTGTATGCACGACACTGCATTTTATTTTATTTGAATAATTAATAAAATCTCAGGAGATATTTTGAGTTGATTTGTCCATCTTATAAGAAACTTATCCAAATCCCTCCCCATACAACAAATAAAACCTTTGACGTGAATTTGTGGCGCGCCAAATTGATAATCACACTTACCTTTCAAAGATCAAAGTAGGAATTTTGTCTCGTCTTCAAAAGATTGTTTGCGTTTTGTGTGCCTAAATGTTGGTTTGTGCGGGTGACTAGGACTCTGTCACTAGCTTTTACCAGAGACTGCTATGAATTTTCCACGCTAAAAAGACCGACAACTAAAATCAAAATTTGATGAATCAAAGGACACTCATCAAGTGAAGCAAATTTCCCTGTTATTCAGCCAGTAGACTGCTCACTATATAATTTCACCTTTATTCTGTGTTCAGTTTTCATCAACTCTAAGTCTAGCATTGTCACCCTAAAATAAAAAAAATATATATATATATATATAAAAGAAACAGATAAATTACGCATCCAGTTCAGATAGTTAGCATTAGCATTCTACATCTAACATCATTCATTAAAACAAAATCATGAACGCTATTCACCCACTTGCACGTTATACATGGATTGGTGAGTTCTCCAGAAAGGCAAGTCAAAATGAATTTGTTTGATTAAGGTCGAGGTATAATCCTCCCATTCGTTAACTGCAGCCACAATTTCTTTCCAGTCGAAGTGAATGCATACACTCTCTTTGGAAGGAATGCGACAGAAAACCCTTGCAACCAATTCAGGATCGATTAGAACTAGAGAGTTAAGGCCATTGATTTTCTGCTTTTGCATTTCTGACAGCTTAGTTATCTTCTTGTCTATAGTTACTTCTCTAGTTTGCGAGGTGGATGCTTTCCAACGATAGAAATGTACAACCTGTTCAGCAGAGGAACAGAGATCAGAGTCCTTCTAACCCCTCTTACTATTTTCTCAGCAAAAAATGAGAAAACTTATCACTCAACAGGAGGGATTCTCCATCTTGGCAAACTAATAGTTTTGCCCAGTACTGTATGAGAACTAGTAGTGCGATAAAAAATATATATCCGTTTTTTTTTTGTACAATATATATATATATCCTATTTTGGTAAGTGGGGAAGAAGACCACATTCATGGTCACTTCTGTCGATTTGTTATATATTTTTCAGTCTATATCAATAAACATGTGAAAATATACCCGATCAAGTACCTGAAGCACGTGCAAGATATTGACAAATTCCCGCTCTAACATCTCACTTCCCCTCACTAATCGTACTGGCTTGATCAATAATTCTGAGACATCAGAATCACAGTCAACATCTTGTGAAAGGCATATGTCATATCCAAGAACTTGCAGTCGTGCCCAACATATATTGAAACCCAACTGTTTATTGGAAGCTTGTTCGACTGAAAACCAGTACATATTACTGGATGCGGGCAAGGGTAGGCTGGAATCACCCATTTTGTCATGTTATAGGTCCTGTGAAAGAAGAGAAATAAGCTTTGCATCCTCATCATGAGAACCATCACGACTGAACCATAAAGTGAGCGTGAGCCTTTCTCCATCAATGATCTATCAAAGACAAGTTCAGATCAGAAGACATTGATTAAGATGCACATTTATATATTCTATATGCAAAGTTGATCACTAGTACCATGTAAACCTGAGAATCAAGATTTCAAAATAACAACTCGTTAATTTTTTAAAGTTCTATGATCTTATATTCAATCAGCATGATTTTGAAACCATCAAATCAAAGTTTGTCACCCTTTTGCATATAACAAGAAATGCCTCAGAATGTAAGATTGTGAAACTCGACGGACATAGATGATGCCATTCTGAACATTCCATTTATATAAAGGACCAAATTCAGGGTAAACACGGATTAAAGCTCTAGGAAAGTATTAAAATGACTGGAGAAAATAAGTGCCAACATGTATCATAATAATAATTGAACTTCGCAACAATTAATTGAAAATTATGTGCTTAAAGCATACATATAATCACTCTTCTTGTTGGGAAAAACAAGGTGTTGGGAATACATTGATCATGATGAACTATTAATTGAAATCTCGGGAAGCAAGTAATTGGTGAAATTGTACAAGTCGAATCATGTGGGACCCTCCTCCACAAGAAAATATGTGCTGTTCTTTTCATTCTGTTTCCTTTTATTTCTCTTACATTTTCCCTTGAGGGGGCAGGAGAGCCAGGGAGATCTGGACCTTATTAAAAAGTAATATGGGAAGTAACAAAGCTAATTACATATATTGGTGAGTAGGTTCATAAGAAGGGAGTTACTGTCCTCTACCTCATCAACAGAATGAATGTTGCGATGATCAGCTGTGTACATGGCAACATCCTAAGAACAAAAGGGGGGAAAAAGGTTAGAAAATTCATCTTTCTCTGGTCGAATTAAATCAAATAACAGAAAGACTTAGATATTGTTTATTATTTGAATTATAAAATTAAGACATGATCGACAGTTTATTCAATCATGAATTTATGTAGCTATTGAGAAAATTAAAAGTGAGAATCAAATAAAATTTCATAAGAAAATACAGAAGGATTTCACCCACTCCAGCCATGGGCATAATTGATGTTGGTTGGCCATCCTGGAAATGAAAGAGTCCACCACTGAAATCTGTCCCATAACTATTTAAATAGCATACTGCCTTTCAAGGCATTGTCAACAGACAAACAGCTGTCAGTCATCAGTCAGAGCGAATTGGACAAATAGAATTCACTTCAAAAGTGAACTAAATTGGACAACTTGCTGCACACTCACTGCATAGTCACGTTGTTTGAGGTAGGGCCTGTTATCATCACTATGCCAACCAATACTTGATCCTTTGGTCCAGCTGGTTCATTTATATAGTATTATCAGACAAATTAACTGACATGATCAAAGAACAACATTTTACAAGCAGCTCATATTGCATTGGAAAATTGGAACCATTAATCACTACTCCAACTTGGAGTTAAAATAGTGTAAACATGCATTGCAATAAAACCAAGCTTGACTGCTTGAGCTTTCCATTGTTCGTAATCTAGTCAGCATAATATTAGATATCAAAAATGCCATGTTCTGCCACATAAGTTGTGAAGTGGTCAGAACAAAGTCAATAGATTCACAACTAATTGCTACCTTTTCTCTTCTCAACTGTGATCAATCAGTGGAAAGATGTTACTATTTTTTTCTACTGAAAAATAAATAAATAAAAAGAATATATTACTTCAATTATGACACGTGAGAAACTGCTCCAACAAGGTATGCATTAAGAAAAATGTTGCAAGAAATATAAAAAATGACACAATAAAACAGGCAATCCTCCAAAAAAAAATCACTTTACTAGCTTGCTAGCTAATTCATGCTATTTTAGCAAGCTAACTAACCTGATTAAACCTGTGAATTCAATAAAGAGTTCATATTCGCATCCAAAAAACTCCTCTAACTTATCTTTCAACCTTTCTGTCATAAAATTCAAATGAATAAATAAATCAGACTAAAAAAGCATTATATAGACTCAGAACAATCAGGAAACATACATTTCTTGCAAAAAATTACAAGGACAACAACTAAATTCTGGATTGTGAAATCTTTTGGAGTTTTAATCTATACTTCTGCTTTTAATGGCTAAGAAACATAGCTATGCTACGAACAGCGATGGATTACAAAAGCAAAAAGAAAAATGTATCATATTTTATTGTTTGGCTTGTAACAGTCAGATGCCAGGCTGTCAAATATAAACAGACATAGAAACTGGGAAGTTGTTTGTTCATATCTACATACTTATCACCCTTGGCTAAGTAAAGATTCTACTTATTAGCACAGTCAAATAGCATCATAGGTGAAAATCAAATTTATCATCTTCAATAGACGGCTAATTAATAAAAGCAAGCATATTTTATCACCAGCTCTTGGCTACAAGCTGCTACATATATATATATATATATATATATAGTTTATCTTCACGAATTTCTCAAGTGCAGGAGAAAAACGAAACAGCAGTCACCATAATGGAGAGCTCCATATACAATAGTAAGAACCCAGAAAGAGAGGGAGGGGAAGGACAATCGAGAACTTAAAAAAAGGGGGGGTAATGGGAGGATCAACGATATCTAATGAAAAAAATACCTCGAATAGGTATGAAAGGCATGATCAAGTGAGACGAATTGGTGGCAATTAGATGGGAGAGAGTAGTTGAGAAAACATTTGGTCTATAGCCCACAGTGCTGCAACTCTTGTGGATGAATTCCAGCTCCTAGAGAGATCAAAACCACCCACAAAATCAACAGGAGAAGAAAAGGTAATTAGAAGGATGAAAATGGTGAAGGGCAGATATTTAAGGAGACAGACCTTGCATTCATCAACGGAGAGAAAATTGGAGATGATCAGACGCGGGTGTTCAAGGTCTGCCATTAAAGTTCACACTAGCGAACAAGCCAGTCTCGCCGCTCAGCTAGTTGATCCTGCTTAGCTATTCTTATTCTTCTTCGGGTCTGTTTTTGGAAATTTTAGGAACCAAATGAAATTTGAAAAAAAAAAAAAAACATTGATATAAACCATGCTCCTAGTTTATTACCCGCCCTACGTTAATCTGGCTCACCCGTTGAAGAGATGTTACGATAATAATAAAGTATTGATGGAACAATCTCTTTAAAATTATATTAATTATTGCATCTGTCATTTTTTACTATTCAAACCCTTACCTTAAATAATACTGATAGTAGCCCTTCTAGCAAGTGCCCATTGATTAATTGAGGAATGTTTAGATAACTAAAAAAAGAACAAAAACCCTTTGGGCCCGTAATTAATCCTATGGGAATATCCAAACAGGCCCTTCTCTTCTTTTTCCTTTTTGGCGGCGGTGAAATGCTTCTCGGAGTTTATGGCTTTTTGCCGTGAAGTGTCATAAAATTTGGTGTCGGGCTGTTGCCCAAACAAAAGATATAGAACTTTTAAAATATTAATAATAATAAAAGACTTCTGAATTATGAAATTTTAGAAGGAAAAAAATCATCATTCTATGTTAGAATTAAATGTTGTTAACTTAGATATATTCAATCCTCTTTTAATATTGAAAAAAATTAAAATAAATATTTTTAGTATAGAAAACATGAAATATAAGTATTGAAAATATTTAAAATGACTGTGGAAAAATTGGAAAAAATAAATATTTAAAATGCTAAATATGAATTCTGAAAATTTAGAAGATAAATCTTATACAAAAGATGACTAATGAAAAATTCAATGGAATGAAATTTATTCCAATAAAAAATATGATATTTTAAAAAAATTAATATTCTCATCTGTAAATAATATTATTAGAAGGTCTTAAATGTCATACTTCCAAAAAACAACGTCATCAACATTGGGAAAGTGAAACAGAAACACCCAGGCCCAAAAGAAAGAATAAAGAAACGCCCCCGTTTAAAAAAAAAAAAAAATAAAACGTTCAATAATTTTTTAATGCCGCAAACACACACACACACACACACATATATATATTTTTCAGTACAAAAAATATCGTGCATTTTTAAGGGTTGATTTTTTGAATCATCCCATGCATAAGTGTTTATTACTTAGTTTAGAACTAAAAATCATGTTAAAGAGATAATTTAATGAGAGGTTAAATTAAGAAATATTTATTTAAAAAATAAGAAACAATAATAATGCAAGAAATTAAATTCAAAATTTGTTTTCTGGGACTACAAAATTTTTGCACAAATAGTCTGACAACTTATATCTTAGACTTGAGTTCTTTTTTTGTCCCCCAAGAAATGGCATTATCAAGTTATATAATATAACTAAGGTATTAGGAAAATCCTATTTTTTGATACTTCATACTCCCTCCATTAAAAAATATAAAATATTTTTTAAATAATTAAATATTTAAAAATATAAGATATTTTTAATCTTTCGAAGCATAATTATATTTTTTAAAAGTGTCCATATTGATAAATAACTTTATATTTATTGAAGGTATTTAATAAAGGTAAATATAAAAAAATAAGGTTAGTGAAAAAATAGATGACTACTTTATTGAGAGATAAAATTCAATTAAAAATGTCTTACATTTTTTAATGAATAAAGTATAAAGTTTGAGCTAATGGTATAAAAACAAAATATAAAGTTTTTTTTTTTTTCTGCTGCTTATTTTTAGGGAGAATGACATCAAATTCCCAACCAACTAAAAGGGACCTAATTCCAATAAACAAGAGACTTAAATAAAATTCACCTTTTCTTTCGATAAAAAAGGGCACGGTTAGAGACTAGAGTCATGCGATTACAAACAAATCAAATTTTAATATCGAAACTATCTTTATTTGCCTGATGCATAAACTAATCCACATATTGATCAGCTTCTCTGAAAATATAATTGATGAAAACTGGCTAATTATGCATAGGAATATCTTTGATTATGTCTTAGAGAGGTTGATTATGACAGCATTCACTTTGTACCAGCTTAATTGCTTTTTTTTAAATTGCAGTGAACATTGACATGAGACCAATTTTCTTTCCAACAAAGATTCAGCAAGTAGGGGAGGAAGAGGTAACCAGAGTGCAGGGCACTGAGAGGCATTTGTTGCAAATTTTAGATTTCCCAAGCACGAAGAACCCAGTTCAAGTCTTCAAGAAGCTGATTGGCTCATTTCGGCTCAATGACTTCCCAAGATGCATAGATTCTCCATCCACATTTGGGTAATTCTTTAATTAGATCTGCCCATCAAAAACTTTTCGACCATTTGATGGCCTTTGGAATTCTCTATTAAACCAATTAAGTCACTAGAGAAAATCTTAAAGCACATCTAACGATTAAAAAAGATCGACATTCCAGGATAAGGCCGTCCAAAAAATGGTCCTGAAACTGCACTTTGTTGCAATAATAGACTGAAGCTACAAATCTTCAAAAAATAAATAAATAAATAAAGTGAAGCTACAAATACCTATAGGTCGAAGACAATGTACTGGAAATAAAATGCAAAATGGTTTGAGAAATTTTTAAACGTAAAAAAGTCAAAATCAGAATTAAGAATGGGGTTTCCCTTGCTGTTAAAGACATGATATAACAAGACAACAAAAAAAGCACGGGAGCATACAAGGATTTTGAAGAGAACCAAAATGTTCTACCTCCTTCCTTGTTCTCTCTGCCGTGTGGATGATACCTTGAATGTTGCCGCTCTTTACATTTGCTTTAAACTCATAGTAAGTTCGCAGCCTACCCCTTTCCTTCGATAAGCTTTTCCTTCCTATCCCCCCCCCCAAAAGGGTTTACCTCTAACCGGGTCCAGACTAATGGCTTACCACAACTTTGTCGTTGCTTTCATGCTCTTTCTCAACAGCTTGCTCACCTTCAGTTTCACCCAAGGTTCCATTTTCATCGCATTCTTGCCTTTGCATCTGTCCATCCACTGCTGCTGTTGGGGAAGCACTCGCACTGTTATGATTAGACTTCCCATTTTCCTTTTCTGGTAGGGTTGTGTTCTCTACACTAGAGTTCATCTCAGTCAAGGTAGCCGATAATGCTTGAGAGGAGTTGCCTGAGCCTGGTGGAGGAAGGAAGACTCCAGTGCCAGGAACAGGAATTCGGGGAGGAGGATGCCTTGGAGGAGCTGCTGTCCATCCAGTAGAACCTGGTGGGATAGGAACCGGTGCAGGAAATGGCATGGGAGGTGCAACTGGAGCAGGCACAAACAATGGCTGTATGCCATTTGGAGGTGGAATTTGGGCGCGAATGGGCGGGGCCGGCAACACTCCTGTTGTTGGAGCTGGCACATAATGCTTGGGGCCTAAGTGATGACGTATGTGATTGGGAGATCTGCTGGGTGGTGGACCCCAATGAGAGGATGCTGCAGGTGAAGCAAGACGCTGAGCATCACCAGGCAATGACTTTTTTGGTTGGGACTTGTTGAAAGTAACAAGAATGCGTTGTTTGCGAATAGAAGAAAGGGCATGTCGAGCAAAATCAGCAGATTTTCCTTGCATTGCCAGAAGGGACCTGTAGTTGCCAAAAGAAGAATTACATCAGTTATCCAACATATAATCAAGATCGTAAAAGATGAATCTCAAATTAAAGGAAAATATGTCACAGCTTGCAGCCGATAATGAATTACTAGCATGCCTGAGAGGGGTTTCCAACCACAATAGCCGTAAGCAATGTATTTGTAGTTACTCACTCAAATAAGGAACAACTGAAAGAAACCTCATGATCACTTGAGAACTCTGACAGCGCAATAATGACTATCACAACTCAGGATAGCAAGAAACCTCATGATCACTTGAAAACTCTCAAGTGAATGCCGAAGTATGGAGTTTATGTATGAATTATTTTCCATCACAAAACTTGATAACAGAAGAGAGAAGTATATATCCTTAGAAAACAAATCTCCAAGACAGTGTTTCCCAAGAACTGGGTGCATCCCACTGCAGGTAACTTTCATCTGAATACATCTACTTTGTCACTATGAACTCAACTAGATCAAACCATGAACTAGCAATAAAAAAACCGACAAGATTGTCAAACATTACCCAGGTACAAGAGAAAGCTTGAAAGCGCCTCTATAATCTCCGGGATGATCCGAGACAATAACTCTCCCAAATGTCATGTCACATTCTGTCAGGAAAAGCATGTAAACAGGTCTTCCAAACCAAGGTGGCCAATTGTAAGGCTGCGAGTGATCACCCTACAGACAATCACCATGCCATGTGGCTTTAGCATATTCCATATAAAAACTTCATGAGAAACAAAACCCAAAAGGGGGGGGGAATCAACCTCATTGTAAAAATCCACAATACAAGCATCAGGCTTCACAGTCATAATTTGTGAGGCTACCAAGCGTTCAATAATATCTTGAAACAAGGCAGGGATAGATTCTACTTTTTTATCTGCCAAATTCAATTGTTGAAGCTTCATCAATGATTATTATAACAATGGAACATCACACAATTATAAATTATAGCCTCGTTCAGCTTTGAAAGAAAATCACATCAGTTAACTTGCCTTTGGAGGCTCCTGTAAGATTTTCCCCGTCAGGTGGTGCATCAGCAATAGGGGCACCCAACTGAATCATCTCCCTTCCATGACCTTTCATAGGCCTTTTTGAAACCACATATGTCTGTGTTCCTGCTTATAAATCGGAGCTAGTAACTGATGTAATGAATCAAAAGCTTAATTCATGTATAATCCATAAAATGCTGACAACAGAATAAAAGATAATTTCCTAGTAGGAAGCTGTAATATATAACAAGATAGAACATCAA